TGCATTCCACTTAACATCTCCCGCTCATACCCTATTTTTCGCGATACCTGTACAATTATTTGCTGAATCCCCACCAGATAGCCACTCCCCCAGACATTACTTGCCCACGTGTCTCCCACTAGTTATCGACTTTGACACGTTTCTACCACCTCAACTCCTCGAGGAGCCAGTTTATGAAATTCAAATTCAATTTGAATTTTAAGTCCAACACTACTAAATTAAAATCCAATTTGAATTTTAAGTCCAACACTACTAAGCCCCAATTTCTTTTGGATAAAAATAAAAATAAATTGATGAAATATATAATTAAAAGTTGATAAAAATGATTGATCTCAATAAATTTATAACGAGTTTATAAAAATGTGGCTAAACATGGCTAAATTTTACATAAAAAAATGCTCGATAACTTATTGAAATTTTAAGAATTAAGTCATTAAGATGTAATCACATATTTGTTGGACAAAACTCTTTTGCATCACACAAAAATGATTTACTAAGTTAAGAGCTTGTTTAGGAGAGATTTTTGGGGAAAAAATTGATTTTGAATAGNGAAAAATTGATTTTAAATAGTGATATGATGGGAAATGTGCGGTTGAAAAAGAAGAAAAAATTATTGATGTGATGGAAAATATTATTTTATTGAAAAATGTGTGGTTGAAAATGAGAATTGATTTACTGTAGAAAAATTTAATCCTTCCCAAACAGGGCCTAAGTATCGATTCGTAACTTATATAGGCCCTTTTTTATATTGATTAAAATTAAGATATTAAATTTAAGTCAAATTCAACAATTAATTTTAACCACATATTTCATGAGACCACGACTTTTTAATCACACATTTCAACTTTTATCAAAATTTATTAAAAAAATTGATTTTAATCCCCATCAAACAGGAGTATAATCCCCTATTTGATGGTCGTTATTTGAGAAAATAATATTTTAAACTGTGATTTTTAGTGGGACGTGTGGTTAAAAAGTATGAATGAATTTTGAGTTTACGTGAACAATATTTTATTACACGTGAATGAACGTGAAGATGTAATATAAATAAATATTCACGTGAAGATGTAATATAAATAAATCAAATCAAATAATGATTGTCAAAGCATCAATTCGTGAATTATTGAACGGATAAGAACTATGGAAATTACACGGGTTAATCGCCATTCACCCATAGGAGAAAAGCTTTGGATTTTAGTCTATAAAGTGGGACACATTTACAGAGAAATCCACACAGAGTGAGAGAATCCCTTCATCTTACTGTCGTTAATATAAAAAACTCTCAAGCGAGATCATGGCGATGAAGCGTGTAGCTACTTCTGCAATTCGTGCTATTACTTCTTCGGAAGTTTCATCTCCTTCTTCAATTCTCACCAGAGAACTCCATGTGAGTCTTCTTAATTTGAATTTTGATCCCCCGACCTTCATCCCCTGTTTAATTTTGATAATCGTCTTCTTACTTTTTTAAGCTCAGTATAATTGAATACCGTAATTGCTGCATCGATTTTTTGAGGATCAACGGCTGAAGATGCCATCGATAATTCCTTTAATTTTCCTGACTTGTGATTTCTTTAAATCAACGGTGTGTAATTAATTTTGTTGTGTATAAAGCGGAACTTTGTTCACTTATCACGGTTTGTGTGAGATTGTGAAAGTTTGGTACATCGCGTTAATACGGCTCATTTATTGAAGAGTATCTGTAACATTTGCTCGGCTTAAAAGAAAGTAAAATTTTATATTACTGCTTATTTTTAAAGTAGCTTTTACATAATTATTTTTGACTAATAATTTTTTTTTATATATATATTTGAATTTACTTAAGAAAAACTTGCAAGTAAACTTTTTAGCTTAGTTAAACATGGCAGCAACATCCCAATTTTGTGTTCCTCTTCCGTTGCAATGACTTGTATGCTAGCATTGATGGTTTCTTTATATGCGAACAGGCAACACCAGGGAGCAAGAAAATTGTTGGGGTATTTTACAAGGCAAACGAATATGCATCCATGAACCCAAATTTTCTGGGATGCGTCGAGAATGCATTGGGTATACGTGATTGGTTGGAATCACAAGGTCACCAGTACATAGTTACGTCTGACAAAGAAGGGCCAGATTGTGGTAACTCCTTAAACACTAGAATTTCGTCAAAAAATATTAAATTAGATATGGAGCTAGTCTGGTGCAATACTTGTCGACCAGTAAACTACATTAACACTAGTATGTTTGTTAGCATCATCCAATGTTGCATAACAAACATGACCTATATGTTCAATAGTTCTAATATGAGTTAGTCTAGAGCTTTCGAGCAAGAATAAATTTGGCTTGATTGTTTGTATGTGGGTTGGCAGCTTATGTTCACGAGCTACCTAAACAACTTGGATATCGAAAAACAGAGGCATTTACAACCATATTGTACAATTGTTTGGATTACTATTGTGTGCCTACTCAGGATTATTGGAAGTTCCCAAATGAAGATAGATTTGCTGCCATACTGTGAATACATATGTTATTTCGTGCTTTGAGTTCTACATTGTTTACTATTTAATTTATTGTGTTATAATTAATGGCTTTTGCAATGCAGAACTTGAGAAACATATTCCTGATCTCCATGTGCTGATAACGACCCCCTTCCACCCAGCTTATGTTACGGCTGAAAGGATTAAAAAGGCAAAAAACCTGCAACTGTTGCTCACAGCTGGAATTGGCTCAGATCATATTGATCTGAAAGCTGCAGCTGATGCTGGTTTAACTGTGGCAGAAGTCACTGGAAGCAATGTCGTCTCAGTTGCAGAGGATGAACTCATGAGGATTCTCATTCTTGTTCGGAATTTCCTGCCTGGACACCATCAGGTTATTACTGGGGATTGGAATGTTGCAGCTATTGCTCACCGAGCTTATGATCTTGAAGGCAAGACTGTTGGAACGTTTGGAGCTGGACGTATTGGCAAACTTTTGCTACAGAGATTGAAACCTTTTAACTGTAATCTACTCTACCATGATCGCCTTAAAATGGATCCAGAGTTGGAGAGTCAATTAGGAGCTAAGTTTGAGGAAGATCTTGATGTAATGCTTCCCAAATGTGACATACTTGTCATTAACACCCCTCTTACTGAGAAAACAAAGTAGGTTTATTCTTTGTTCAACTCTCAAATTTTGTGCAGATCCTCATTAATTTGCATTTTTAAATGCATTCCTAAGCATGCCACGAGGCACACAAACTTATCCGAACTTTATTCTGTGAATCAGAGGGATGTTTAACAAAGAAAGGATAGCTAAGCTGAAGAAGGGAGTTCTAATAGTAAACAATGCTAGAGGTGCAATCATGGACACACAGGCAGTAGCTGATGCGTGCTCCAGTGGGCACATTGCAGGTACTTCGAAGCAAAAATATTACGTAGTGGATTTGGAATTAGAAACGACTCCATTCTAATTTGTATTAATGTTTTAACGAGATCAACTTCGTCATCCTGAATTCTCTATGCCACAAATCATATTATCTACTCTATTGTATTCTAGAATGGAAGATGTGCTGGTGTGTTTTCCAATCTTAAAAACTATACTTCCATTGTTAATTCAGGTTACAGTGGGGATGTTTGGAACCCGCAACCAGCTCCAAAGGATCACCCCTGGCGTTACATGCCAAACCAAGCTATGACCCCTCACATATCTGGAACAACCATTGACGCCCAGGTATTGATTTATTTATATCTTGGTGCTTGTTGAATTTTTTAAAATTAAATTAAGCCGTGGGTCCTACAAAAATTGTGGGTAATAAGTTGTGGGTCTATAGAATGTGTGAATAAAAAAATATATTTGGCTGGATTAAATTATAATTTAAGTTTTACCAAACATGCACTTCATCTCATCTGATGAAAATCTATAATATATTGATATCACATCAAGCAGAATTATTTTTTGGATAATTTTAACCCAATTATAATTTAATTATTTCAATAATACCTTATTTTTCGTTTTTTTAATTTATATAACTATTTAGTAACCATTAATATACATGTAAATTTGACAAATTCATTTTACCCGTGTACTTTTCTTTAATGTATGAGTTTTCTATTATTAATTTTCAATTAATTAATATTCACATTCATTTATTTAACCATTTAGTTACCATCAATGTACAGTACATTTGACAGATTCATTTCACATGTATGCTTCCTTTTATTAATGTATGAATTCTCTATTATTCATTCTAAATTAATTAACATTGACATTCATTTAATTAATATTCATCTCCATTTATGCATTTCAGTATTATTAATTCTAATTATAAGTTAATTAAAATTTCACATTCAATAATACATTTCATTATTCACGTCCATATATACTAATTAACATTCAATTTTAGTTTAATTGGAAATTAAATAAATAATTTAACATTCGTTGTCAAGTATATATTCTCTGATATTAATTTTAAATTATTTAACATTCATGTGTATTCAATGATTACTTTTATATCACTTATAAAATATTTCATAATAAAGCGCAATGCACATTTAACGTTGACTAGTATGTACAAATGTATCACTAGCATGTTAAAACCTTGTGTAACCATGGTGTTGCAGTTGCGGTATGCAGCCGGAACCAAGGACATGCTCGAGAGGTATTTCAAGGGAGAGGATTTCCCTCCACAGAACTACATTGTCAAGGACGGAGAACTAGCCAGCCAGTACCGTTAGATGCCTCAACTTGTCGAGTCATGTAATATGTAGTTGTTTGCTACTTTAAAAAATCAACGTCGTGGGTAATAATTTCCATCCCGGAAAATAGTTACAAGATTTGTTTCGTATGGATCATAATTTTGAAGTATGACTGTTCTGCTTGTCGAATTTCGTCTCTGTACGTCATGTAATATGTAGCTGTTTGCTACTTTAATAAATCAACGTCGCGTATTATAATTTCCATCTCGAAAAATAGTTACAAGAGTTGTTTTGTATAGATCATAATTTTGAAGTATGACTGAACTGCTTAAATCAATTTCGAAGATAAGACTCAACGAATTTGTTCAGTTGATCAAACACTTGCTCCAACTTTCTAACTCAATTGAAACTTGAACCATGAATTTTAACTCTAAATTGAACAAAAGCCATACAAAATTTAATCAGATACCAACCATGGATCCACAAGGATTAGGGTTCAGTTTCGCCCACATTCTATACACCGAAATACCCCCAACTCCACTGGGCAACTTTGAACACACAGAAGATTGACCCTTGAAATCACGAAGAACACAAAGAACTCATTCATCAAAAATGAAGTAGTCCACAAATGACCAGCACAAATGACACTTATTTTCCTGACCAGGGCAATGGGTGATTCTGGTGTGCAATATCCAAGCCTTTTCTTCAAATAATGAAGTTCGATTAAGATACATCATCTCCTCATGGTTGTTTGGCAATACAAAAGCCAACAGTCTCAACAGTAAGATTTTATTTTAATAAGTTATATATCAGTAAGGATAGAAAATGACTCTGTTCCAAGCTAAACCAACAAAAGAAAATAGAAGAATACACGACATTGTTTTGAAACCAAAAAAATAAAAACACAAAAATGTATTTATGTCGACGACATGAATAAGCTACACATGTCGTGTGCACAGTAATTTCCTACCACCGTCAATGCCACCACCATCTACACTACCACCGTCGACCACAACGTGCCGCACCCAACATCCACACCACCACCACCTCGCACCACCACAACCACCAAAACGATAGGACTTTCACCACTACCACCTAGAGGTGTCAAGATGGACGGGTCGGCTAGACCCATGAAAATCGGCCCGAATCGACCTGGGACCCGAGCGGGCGGTTCACGGGTCAATGAGGTGTGACCCCCGAGCTTCGCGGGTTGCACCTTCAAGGGCCGCGATTAACCCGCTGGCCCGTGACAAAAAAATTAAAAATTTTTGAAAACAAGTAGGTGCCAACTTAGTTGGAATGTATTTATACTATAAATATTTGATAATAGTAATTAAAAATGTATTTAGTTGTTATTTGTTTAAATTAAATTTAACTTT